CCATTTTAAATTTAAATATTAAAAGAAGACATCATCGCCATCAAATCTTTCCTTAGAGTTTAGAAATTAGAGAAGTTTTCAATTAAAAGAATGCATTTATTAAAAATTAATTCGCGAAATATCCTTAAATTCTCCTTTCTTCTGTGATTAAAACAGATGTTATTTTCATACCGATTAACCGAAAGTTTCATTACTAAATAGATTAATCAATAAGTTATATATATATATATATATTTTTTCTATCGTTTAGAGTTAATGAGTTAGTAATTTCAATTACAAAATGAAATTTTTTTTCTCTCACGTATAATACAATAGAACCCCCCGATTTAACATTTAAAATACATTCGTTTTAACGCACTTTCGTCCATAACGGAAACGTTAAATCGAGGGCCTAATATATATATATATATAAGGAATTTAATCTCTGATCAAATTTAACATCTTCCCATTACATCCCATGAGAAAAAAATTTATAGATTTATAGAGTTAGACGGATATTTCCGCTTTGCACAATTCAGATCATTTAATAATCTGGACGATGCAATTGAACTCTTATATTGAATGAAATTCTCTCTTTTTTTTCCTACGAGAAAGCTTTTACGAATTGTATAATTCCCTCTATTTTGCTCATTAAAGTACAGTCGACCCCCCTTATAACACTGTTAATTTTTCCGTTTTATATGAATTCCATGTTGTACGAGTCACTTAGATTTTACAAATTCGTGTGCCGGGTGTGAACGGCTCACGTATCTGTAAAATCTAAGTGACTCGTACGACATGGAATTCGTATAAAACGGAAAAATCAACAGTGTTATAGGTGGATCGACTGTATGTAAAATTAACGTATTGGAGATAACCTTTTAATCGCTATATCGGGGTGTTAAGCGCAATGTGGGGTCAAGTTTTGTAGAACCAAATATAGCGCCATCTGTTACAAAACCAATCGCGCCCAGTTCGGAAGCGCCGAGTGCGTTGGCGGGTAGTTTTCTGTGGGCGGTGTTTTGCCACAATCAATGCTTTGTAGCTCGGTCGGTACAGTAACGTGGTGACATCGATTCGCCCGATACACACACACGTGCCACGCGCGCCAACGTGACGGAACCCCGATTTTACGAAATGGGTTCGGATCGCCTTTATAGAGAAATTCTACACAAACTTAAGGTGAGTGGTGAGTTTTTAATTTAACATTCCTCTTCCCTCTCCCTGTATAACGACAAAAAATGGTTTCGGTTCGGTAACGGTAATTATTGAGTCGTTACTTTTCGGAGTCACGGTCGAAGATTCGTCTATTGGGTCTTGCGTTATAAACGGAGATTGAGAACAAAGTCTACTGATAGGGAGGAAGATAGCCGACAGGAAGTCAAGGACATGGTTAGTTGACTGTATCGTCGCCGATGTACGGTTACATCCCACCCACACTATCTTGTTACAAACCTGCTGATGTGGATTTGTCATCTAGAATAATCGAATCGTTTTATGGTTGTCGTATAATTTATATTTAAACGGTTGTTAATCCTTTTTTTTTTCCTTGGTATTAATTATCAGGGGACACGGGGAAAGTACCGTACTGTACTGTACATATTGGAGGGGCCCTATAGAGAATTAAATTACATTAAAGGAAGTAAACGAGAAAAAAGACATTGTATAGAGGAGCTCAGGCAACTTGCTCCTTTTCTACTCTCTGGACACAGGTCAGTTTGCTTATTCCTCCTCTGGGGGACTGGGCAGTTTGCTCCTTTTTTTCCAAGAGGGCCGTTTGCTCATTTCCCCCTTTGGGCACAGGATCGTTTGCTTCTTCCCCCTCTGGGTGTCCCTGTTTAATTTTAATCCGTAGGTTTCAAATTCGTACGAGTTATTCTTTCGAATAGTTTCTTGTTGCTTATTCTGTATATATTTCACAGAGTCGTTCTCGAAAAGAAAGCGAGCTTTCATTTAAATAAAGACTGACAGAGAATTCATTGTATAGTCCCCATCTTCATAGACATAACAGCGAATCTATTTTCTATCTATAAACAGAACCTTTTTTTTTCTTTTTTCTTTTCCTGAATGCTCCTATAACTTCAATGCTTTTACTCGAGACTCTTCAAGTTTGAGAGCGAGTTACATATAAGGAACGCCTTGTATTTATTATGATAAACCAACTTCTACATGACAATACTCCCATAAATTTTAATATCAAAAAGTGAAATTCATTGCGTGTCGAATTTTTAATACATTCCTATTAGATTTTTCCCTATATTAATAAAAGATTTATATATATATTTTTTAAATAAATGCTTTAATTAATAGAAATTTGAATAATAAATCATCACAGATTTATTTTTCATACTGTAGAGTGCTGTAGATTACCTTATCTAAAGTTGTTTACACTACTCTTGATTATTTTAATTTCATTTTTTTCTTGTTTATATTACAAATTTATATAAAAAAAATGAATCTTAATATATATATATACTTGTATACAATACATATACAGGCCTATTTGTACAAATAAATTGAATTTGTTAATGTCATAATGGATACTAAGTATATAGAATGCCCAAAAGTTAGTTAACAGAATAATTTTACTGTGTTTTAGTGTAAATGTGAAAGGTAAATTGAATTCAGAACAGTTTTTTTTCTATTTAAACATTGAAGAAAATATATATTTAACTAAGACAGCAAGTTAATTGACTTTTGGAACAGGATTCTTTGAATTATAATCTTTATTATTATTTTTTTCATGTAAATTTAATCAAGAATATTTTATTCTGTAAACATTGTAAATAAGCATTATTCTTGTCTGTCCATGATATTGTATTGTCAGCAAATTATTATAGTTATTTTAGTCAAGAAAATTTAACAATTCATTGACTTTAGTACTGTATAATTAAGAGAGTTGGAGCAAAGTATTAAAGTATATTTTTGAAATAATATTACATACAAACTTATTATGGTAATGCAGTTTTATAATTTTAAATGGGGGAGAAAGAAACAAATGTGCTTAAAAAACATTTATAATTATAAGTATTACTTTCTCAGATGGTTAATTAATGTCAGTCAATTAATTTTGGAATTATAATCCATATTTTATTTTTTCTCCTTCACCTCTATGGGCATTAAGAGGGTCTTTTTAGCCATACCCATTACAGGTTATTATCACATGCTTGTAGAAGCAGAAGTAAATAGTTTTGTATTCATAAAATAATTTATTTTTAGAAATTTATTAAAGAGTTTGCTGAGAAAAGAAGGTTCATCTATGTGCAAAAAATACTCCTCTTACTATTAAAAGATCTATTTTATTTTTTTATGTGTTAGTTTCACTTAGCCAAACCGGAAACTTTGGAATATATACCTCATGTTTTTCTATGCTGATTAAAATTAATAACGCAGAAAACACGAGAGAATTATTTATATAAAATATTCTTTTCGGAAAATTTTTATGTGCGGATGAAATGCCTTGTTTGTAATATTTATTTTATATTTATTTTCGTTCCGCCAGCAGAAAAAGCATTTTTATTGCTTAATAATTTCATATAGAGCAGTTCCTCAAGGTAATTTTATATATATATATTTGCATTTTTATTACTTTGATATTGCTTTATTTTATACTGGTATAATTTAGAAGTTTGAAATTTCCTCCAGAGAATATTTTACTAGTAATTGTTTCAGTGTGATATATGATGTATTATTATATTGTATGCTAGTTAATTTATACAGTATTTGTTTACAGAATTGAATAATTGTAAAAAAAAAAAATACTATAAAGATTTAGTTTCTTCTTCTTCTTCTTCTTCATCTCCTTAAAATTGATTTTAATGTTAACAAGTTTAGTTATTGTTAAATTAAATAACAAGGTTCCTTTTCAATAATTTAACATTGTACAAATAAATAATGATAATGTTAGCAGTGCTTTTCAAATATTGCTGTTTCCATATGTTTTATTATTACATATACATTACATTATTAATGTTGTTAGTGGTTGCCTTTGTTTCCTCATAAAAATTTATTAATATTTGCATTAAAAAAATAAAAAAAACATGTTATCTATTCTTTATCCTTTATTGGTATCTACTAGTTTCATAACACTACTTTTAATATAATTTAAGGCATTATTAATAATAAAAGAAAATTTGTAGTTACATCATAATATATTGAATAAAATTAATGTTTTATTCGTATTTTTTGAATGAAAAAGTCAATTAAGGGTCCTATTTATTGCAGATGCTTACTAAACATATTTTAATTTAGACGTTCTTTCAAGCATTTCGAATGATTTACTACGTGCTATATTTATAAATATGCTTCAACATGCTGTTTGTAAAGGGAGAAAAAAACAACTTTTATAATTATATTTAGCGCACGATGAGTATGAATAGCAGAATTTTAAATACAGTCAAATATTTCTAGTTATATTCTCTATCAATCGTCAATCGTTCTTGTTATTTGAGGATTAATAAGAAGAAAAACAATAACTATTATTAAATATTTAGAGGAGTGATGATGTATGGCAATTCGTGGGCGATCTGCCAAGGGTTATTTATTTATTTTTTTACGGGAACTGGCCCTTATTTAGATACGTGAAGAAAACACGTGGACAGTATGTTGGTGAGGTGCGAACCCGCGACCAACCACCAGTGTTTAGTTGTTTTATCTGGTGGACACGCTAAATATTTGGAAGATGACTTACTTACTTAATAATTCTTGTAAATAACAAAACACAGTTGTGAATATTTTGGTTTTAATTTTATAAATCCCAGACATTTCGATTGTTTCCAGTTATAACGTAAATTAAACAATTTAGAGAGGTTACGGCCGACGTTTTCGTCGCGAAAACGTGTACGTCGGACGTTCAGCGCCGCCTTCCCGTAAGTCTAGAAGTTTGACAATGGCGTTTGATACGTCGAGCGTGATTCCACTGACGTTCCAAACGCCATTGTTAAACTTCTAGGCTTACGGGAAGGCGGCGCTGAACGTCCGACGTACACGTTTTCGCCATGAAAACGTCGGCCGTAACCTCTCTATTAAGACCGTTTACCTTACGTCGATTCATTTACAGTAAATTATAAATCGATTCTTTGCATTTTAATTACGTTTCCTCCTGTAAAAAATCGCGTAATTTCAGCTAATACTAAAACATATTTATTAAAATATAACATCTAACCGTTCTTTGTAATTCGTCTAACAGATTTATTTAAAGTTTATTCCATCGTTAACGTACTTAAACAAACTTAAACTGTAATTACAATTCGATAAATTTTGTGGTTAATGTAATGTTATACTAATTTATGTAAATTATGATAGAGTTTGACACGTGTCATTTCGGGTTCGCACTAATTATCCATTCTAAATCCTGAAACTTAATTGCGATCTGCATTAAGTTTGTACGGAATTTTACATTAAATTTTGAATTCTCGCAGAGTAAATAGGAGCTTAAAAATAGTAATTTTATATCATTTTTGTTTTTTTTGGAGTTTTTAATTAGTAATTAAACACGCGATAAGGAAAAATGAAGTGGTATCTTACGTAACTTTCTTATACATCCTTGAGTTACGTAGCGTAACATACCATACAAATATAAGCCGTCTACGCGTTATATAACTAATATAAAAACATATTTTATATTACTTAATTAAGTAAATAATATGTTAAATATTTAAATATATTGTTTTTATTTTGTTTCTATAGACAAACTGAATTTAATGAGAAATAAATACCCATCGATTTTTCAATTTGTTCAGCTTTATATTCATATAAATATTGATTTCGTAACAATATTTTTTCTCATCACGAAGACAGATGTGATCGATTTCCATGTACATAAATAGAAATCAAACAATTATGTATGAATACAAAAGATTTCATTTGTTTTAGATACAGAAAACAACGCGATGTCAATGGAAATTCTTATTTAATATATCATAACACATTAGATGTAATTACTGAGAGCAATTGTATACTCAGTAGGTGTTGCTAATACCTAATGACTTTCATTCCAGATGACCGAAGGACGTCACTGTCAGGTGGTCCTATTAGATGAACGACGTCTGGAAATACTTGTAAAGGTATATATTGTCTGCTTTGTAAACAAATACATAAAATAATAAATTAATCTATTTTATAAATTTTTTCCCCCCTTTTTCTCTTCAGTTTTTCAATGTTTTATAATATACTGTTGTTATTTAAAAAAAAAATAAATGCTGAAAAACTGAGGAACTATTTATGGAATATAGAAATCAAATTGATTTAAATATATTTTATCACTGTATCAAATGTGTAAATGTTAATTTTTTCAAAATACCTGGTGACTGTTATTAAAATACCCCATTCAACACTGTCTAGAGATATATTTAGAGGCTCAACTGCCACCGAATTTGGTACGGTGGCATTTCGGGCAAGCAAAGCAATTTTTGTAAAAACATCGGTGCCAAAATTTAAAGCACTAAAGCACTTTTTGTACCGAAAGCAATGAAAATTCACTTTCTTTTGCATAAACACGCACGTTGTCACCAATTTCTGGGTATAATACTGGCCACAACTCGCGAATGTCATTCTTATCAGCTACAATGACCATTACCTTGCTGGAATGTGCACTTCTTGTGAAACTGTTTTGTGAAATAAATGGCAATGCTGTAATTGTATTTTTTACCATCTTAAGAATTTATATTGAGGGCTATTGACTAAACAAGCTCTCGGGTGAGTAATCGCTCAATTTGAAGAAATTGGATGTCGGACAGTTCAACTCAGTCAAAGCCACAAACCTGTCACTAGTCATTGAAGATATTATGACAGCTTTTGTTGAGCATCAATGAATAATGTTCAGGTTCCAGTAGTGCACAAGCAGTGTTGTGGGAATTGATGGTAGCCTATGGCACAGTATGGAAGATACTAAAAAAGTTGGTGTATTGTTATCCATGTAAGATCAACCATAACCAGAAGTTGCTTACTGTTCAGGAAAACCTAACTGATCTTTGCATTGATCTTCCTTGTTATAATGGAAGTGACGAGTTGTGGCCATGGAAGATCCTGTGGAGAATGAGGCACATTTTTACCTCAGTGAACAGTGAAAACCTGTAACTATCACATTGGGCCAAGAAAAATTTTCAAGTTTTCCTGAAGATTCCACTGCACTCACCTAAATTTACAATCTGGTATGGAATCACAGCTAAATTTATTCTTGGATTGTTCTTCTTTAAAGAAGCTAGTTTAGATGGGCCTGTAATATTGTTTGCGACAATTCAGATATAACAGAGATGCTCAACATTTTATCTTACCCCAACTGCAATTGCAACAATGCCTCATGTCAACCACTTTTGTGCAAGATGAAGTACCACCATATATTGGATGCTTTATACAGCAGTTTTTAAAACAGCATTTCCAGATAACAGTGTGATTTGTTGTGTTTTCTATAACCTGCCCACCTTGTTCTGTGGATCTTAATTTGTGTGATTTTTTTGTGTGGGAACACTTAAAAATTGCAGTTTAACAAACTCATTTTGCAAACTTGACAGTCTTCAAAGACAATATCATATAGCATGTAAGAAGCATCATTGAGAATCAGTTACAGTCAGCTGTTGAACACACTGTTCATTGCTTTTGGGTTTTACATTTTCATAATGGGTAGATTGGGGACCACATTAAGCAGTGTTTCCTGCACCTCTAAGTTCTCTACACAGCATGATTGATGACTGCCTGATTCAAATAATGTGGTTGCTACTTGCAGCACCAAAAGTGCCACAGTAGTGAGTTTTGTACTAATTTTGTTATTATTTACAAAATGTCTTGAAATGACACCATATCAATATATACAATATTTAGCAGTACAAATATAACCAAATATATCTGTAGACAATGTTAAATAGCTGTACTTCAATTACATTCGCTCAGTATTTTAATCTAACTGATATTTAAATTCATGAAATAAATCTTTGAAATTTAGCATTGATTGATTTGATGACCACTAGAAATAAAAGCATTTTATAATATATATGTATGCAATAAGAGTTATAAACATTTATAACTTTTATTGCATTTCTAGTTATCCTATAAATAAATTTTAAAATTTGATTTGCATAGTAATTAATCAAAATATTAAATTACAATATAGATATACTTCATGTATATCTATACTGTAAGATACTGTATCTTACAGTATAGATATACATGAAGTACCACCATATATTGGATGCTTTATACAGCAGTTTTTAAAACAGCATTTCCAGATAACAGTGTGATTTGTTGTGTTTTCTATAACCTGCCCACCTTGTTCTGTGGATCTTAATTTGTGTGATTTTTTTGTGTGGGAACACTTAAAAATTGCAGTTTAACAAACTCATTTTGCAAACTTGACAGTCTTCAAAGACAATATCATATAGCATGTAAGAAGCATCATTGAGAATCAGTTACAGTCAGCTGTTGAACACACTGTTCATTGCTTTTGGGTTTTACATTTTCATAATGGGTAGATTGGGGACCACATTAAGCAGTGTTTCCTGCACCTCTAAGTTCTCTACACAGCATGATTGATGACTGCCTGATTCAAATAATGTGGTTGCTACTTGCAGCACCAAAAGTGCCACAGTAGTGAGTTTTGTACTAATTTTGTTATTATTTACAAAATGTCTTGAAATGACACCATATCAATATATACAATATTTAGCAGTACAAATATAACCAAATATATCTGTAGACAATGTTAAATAGCTGTACTTCAATTACATTCGCTCAGTATTTTAATCTAACTGATATTTAAATTCATGAAATAAATCTTTGAAATTTAGCATTGATTGATTTGATGACCACTAGAAATAAAAGCATTTTATAATATATATGTATGCAATAAGAGTTATAAACATTTATAACTTTTATTGCATTTCTAGTTATCCTATAAATAAATTTTAAAATTTGATTTGCATAGTAATTAATCAAAATATTAAATTACAATATAGATATACTTCATGTATATCTATACTGTAAGATACTGTATCTTACAGTATAGATATACATGAAGTACCACCATATATTGGATGCTTTATACAGCAGTTTTTAAAACAGCATTTCCAGATAACAGTGTGATTTGTTGTGTTTTCTATAACCTGCCCACCTTGTTCTGTGGATCTTAATTTGTGTGATTTTTTTGTGTGGGAACACTTAAAAATTGCAGTTTAACAAACTCATTTTGCAAACTTGACAGTCTTCAAAGACAATATCATATAGCATGTAAGAAGCATCATTGAGAATCAGTTACAGTCAGCTGTTGAACACTCTATTTCTATTTTATTATATATAAGATTATAAAACATTTTAAAAGTAAATGATTGATTATTTATTTGTTTTATTATGTAAAACTGAGTTGTATTCTAAAATTTAATTAAATATGTTCGTTTTTATAGTCAAAGTTTGCTATTATAGAACATGAGTTTTAAATTATTTGTTTTTCTTATTTTCTAAAAGCTTGTTTTTTTTTATGTTTCATTTCATAAGCTGTTTTTTAAACTTAAAACTGTCCTTAACTGAACACAGCTCTATGTGAGCTGAAAATGTTTTTAATTAGTTTGTTTGGTAATTTTGGTAACCTTAATAAGTAGTTTACTTAATACTTGTAATTAATTATGGTTATGGATTTCTTTCTTTCTTTCTTTCATATAATGGTTAATATGGAGTGTGCAGCTCATATAGGCTATTTACTCTGAGAGACGAGAATATGGATGCATGCATCCGATTAGCTAGCCATTAGATGGAATGGCCATATAGGTGCAGGGAAAATAATGCCTTCTGGGAGGTCTTTTAAGGGAAACTGTCCCCTATTCAGGCATTTACAGACATGGAGAAAACTCGGAAAACTCCACGTGGCCAGTCTGTCCGAGTGAGGTGCAAACCCATGACCGAACTCCCAGTGTTCAGGGATGAAGATTGCTTGGCCACATGGTTATGGATTAAAATGACTGACTTTTTTAAAGACAATTGAATAAATCTGTCAAAATTTTGAAGCTATATCAATAGTTTTTCCAATATTATCTTTTAAATAATCAATCAATCAATATATATTTATTAGTCATATTAGGCAAAGGCCTGTTATTACAGGGAGTTATAACATAGAATGAACATTGATCATAGTGTCATAATTATACCATTCCAGTATTTATCAGTTAGTATTATTATATACAATGTTCAGGTCAATTCAATTTCATTCACCCTTTTAGGATGATTACAAAAGGTTTTTGTATAATTATATAATTTATAAATCATAGCAGTATTTGCACCCTGGAAGAAACGATACATTTGATTTTCTTCTGTGATGAAATTTAATTGGTTTAAATCCATTTTAATTCTTAGTTCGTAGCCTGTTTTACATCCACAGAAAACGTGATACTTAGTGAATAATTCTTGACATCTTGGGCAGCTACTTTTGGAAATTTCATAGATTCTATTATTAATTAAAACCATATTGCTATTTAATCTCAGTTGAATGAAAAACTTCTTGACTGTAAACGACATATTAGATAACATATAGTTGTTATTGAAGGGGTAATTTAGCAATATTTTATACCATTTAGGCTCTCTTCTCTTATGTATTTCTTCGATATCTTGAGCTAATGAGATTTCCAGTGCATTATGTATTAGTTGTTTCCTTATAAAGTCGCTAATTTCTGAATTTTCTAGTAATGGAGCTATAGAAACTCCGTATTCATTGATTATATTCTTCATTTGACTAATCCAGGTATTTTTTTGGGGTTTTTGACACATTTTTTTATACAGCAAATATAATAGTTTTGTTG